GTGAGGATTTAAAGAAAAAAAAAAGCAACTGTGGCAAATAAAGCTACCCCTGTCCTTGCCGGGGGAAAGGGGGCTGGGAGTCTGGACCCCGAGGGCCTGAGGCACACACACAGGGGCAGCCTGGACTGGGGGTCTATACTCTTTTACCCCTGTTGTTGTTGTTTTTTCTTTTTACCACTGTTGTTTTTTTTTTTCTTTTTACCACTGTTGTTGTTGGTGGTGGTTTGTTTGTTTTTTTTTTTTTTTACCATTGTTGTTTTTCTGAAGAGGTAACTTACAAAACCGAAAGGGTATCAGAAAGTGTAAAGCGAAATTTCTCAGGCCACCTCCACCCAGCATCCGGGCAACCAGTCCCAGTCAGTGCACAAACAGGGCCGCCGCCCGGTCTCACGGTCCCTTCCAGCCCTAACACGCACCCGGGAGCCCTCTCGGCTCTGTGACCTCGGGCACGCCACTTTCATTGGTCTCGTGCTCTCACCTACACATTCACCCGCCTCCTTCCTCTTCATCCTTAGCCACGTCAGACCTGACACCACTGTCGTCTCCAATAAAGAACAGCAAACGGGGAGCGCCGCAGAGAAAACCGGGGGCACTGCGTAGCCCCATCTCGCCTTCCTCTTTCCTTTCCTCCGCAGCACCCTCCCCACCTACCTCTGGACGCATCTGCTAGATCACCCACCTTCTCTCCAGCTACGTGGACACCTGCTGGGGCAGCGACTTCTGCCTGCCTCGCTCACCTACTGCTAGACTTCCAGCGCCTGGATGACTGGCACGCAGTGGTGCCCAGTATAAATCTGCGCCAGAAGGGGACGACCAGCTCCGACGGCCCATTCTGAGCCAAGCCAAGCACTTGATCGCCTGCTACTAATCCACCACTGACACCGCAGCCTGGTGACCCAAGAGTCAACAACACATTCAAATGTCCCCTCCTCCGCAGGAAGGGGACCACATAGAGGGGAAGTTTAGGGGCCCCCCGGGAGAGAAAAGGCTCACCAGGTAAGGAAAAACCTTCCGATGGGGTCAAGAATGTGGCTTCCCATCAACTCTTGTGTCTTAGAAAGAATGGAAGGAAACTCCAAAGGCCGGCGGCCTCTCACTTCTAAGAGAGAAGCCACGTGATTTCCGAACGTACATGTTTCAGAAATGACTTCTCAGCCAAGAGCTTTCTGAAGCCAGAACTGTGAAGGTTAAACCCAATTAAAGTAGCGTCAGTATGCCAACAATGACAACAAAGAAAAGGAAAACTTCCTAGAAACACACAATGTACTGAAGCTGATTCAGAAAAGAAATTTAAAAATTGTAATAGCCCTGTAACTAATAAGGAGACTAAATACGTTATCAAAAACCTACCAACGAAGAAAAGCCTGGGGCTCACTGGCTTCACTGGTGAGTTCTACCAAACATTTAAAGAAGAACTAACACCAGTCCTTCCCAGACGCTTCAAAAACAGCGAAGAGGGAACACTTCCTAACCCATTTCGTGAGGTCAGCCTTACCCTGGTTCCAGAGACAAGATGCCACGAGGAAACTCAGACCTGCAACTCTCGTGAACACGGGGGCAAGACCCTCAGCACGATACCAGAAAACTGAATTCAGCAGAGTGAAAGGTTTACGCACCACGACCAAGTGGGGTTTACTCCTGGAATGCAAGGATGGTTCACCACACAACAGTCAATCAAGGTAACACAATAACAGAAAGAGAGATAAAAACTACCTGTTCATCTCCACTGATGAAGAAAAGTATTTGACACAACGCAACTCCCTTTCATTAAAAAAAAAAAAAAAAAAATTCAATGAACTAGAAATAGAAGGGAACTTCCTCAACATGGTAAAAGCCGTCTCTGAAAAACCCCCATGCGAACATCACACGCAACAGCGCTCCCCTGAGGGCGGAAACAGAAGGACGCCTGCTCTCACCACTGCTACTCCTCCACACGCTGCTGGAACTTCTGGCCAGAGCAATTAGGCAAGGAAAAGAAATAGAGGGCATCCAAATTGGAATAGAAAATTATTCTGTTCACAGATGACATGTTTTTATATGCAGAAAACCCAGAAAGTCCACAAAAACTGTTAGAACTAATAAACACATTCAGCCAAGTTCCAAGACACAAATCAACAGAAAAAAACAAATTGGTTGCATTTCTTTACACTAACAATGAACAATTTGAAAAGGAAATTAAGAAAATCCCATGTACAACAACACCAAAAAGAATAAAATACTCAGGAATAAATTTAACCACGGAGGCTAAAGACTTCCACAATGAAAACTGGAGAACACCATTGAAAGAAACTGAAGACTCAAGCAGACGAAAAGATAGCCCATGATCAGGGACGGGAAAGCCTAGATATTGTTAGGATAGCAAATAATACCCAGAATGAGCTACAAATTCAATGCAATGCCAATAAAAATTTCTTTTCTTGTCTTTTTTTTTTAAGATTTTGTTTGTTTTTTATTTTTAGAGAGAGAGGAAGGGAGGGAAAAAGAGAAGGGGAGACTCATTGGCCCGCAACCCAGGCATGTGCCCCGACTGGGAATTGAACCTTTGACCTTTCCATTAGCAGGCTGGCTCTCAATCCACTGAGTCACACCAGCCAGGGCCCAATCAAAATTTCAATAGTGTTTTCTGCACAAACAGAAAATTCATCCTAAAACTCATATGGAATCTCAAGGAATCCTAAAGACCCAAAACAATCTTGAAAGAAAACTAAGTTGGAGAACGAACACTTCTGATTTGAAAACTTACTACAAAACGACAGTAATCAAAACAGTGTGGTACCGGAATGAGGGAGGACGCACAGACCAACAGACTAGAACAGAGGGCCCTAAGAAAACTCTCACATACAGGGTCTGGCACAATCAACACCCCTTTTTTAATTAGAAAATCCTGAGCATGTAATTCTGTAACATAGCAATATCATATTCAAGCACAACATATGACATTTCAGGTGAAATGTTCAAATTAGAACTCTACGTTATTACACCCATATCATTACCCTACCAACCACACCCAAGCAGGTGTTACTTCTGCCAGACCCTGTATACGGTCCAATGATTCTCAGCAAGGGGGTCGAAACCCACTGAATAGGGCAAGGACAGTCTTTTCGACAGCCGATACTGGGAAAGCTAGATATTCAATGTGAAGGAACGTATTACACCCTCACATTACACCACACACAAAAGTTAACTTAGAATGGATCAAAGAACTAAACATAAGAGCAGAAAATACAGGGGAAAGACAATGATTCATTAGGTACAACACCAAGAGTAGGACCAACAAAAGAAAAAGACAAGATAAACTGGACTTCCCCCAAATTAAAACCTTTGTCCATCCAAGCACATTATCAGGAAAGTGAAAGGACAATCTTGGGAATGGGAGAAAATACTGGCGAATCACATATTTGATAAGGGATTAATGCAGAATATATTAAGAACTCCTACAATTCAACAACAAAACCCAACTGAAAAACGGGCAAAGGACCTGAAAAGACCTCTCTCCAAAGACACACAAATGACCACAGCTGCACGAGAAGGTGCTCACCACCACTAACCACTGTGGAAGTGGGAATCAAAACCTCAATGTGATACCATTTCACACCCATCTCATCTGGGTGGCTATCTTCAACAAAACAGAAAATTACAAGTGTGGACAACGATGTGGAGAAATTGGAATGTAAAATGGTGAGACCCTAAGGTTGTGGATGCCATCCTGTCCTTTGGACTGACCTCAAACCCAGTCCCAATAATCTGGGCCCTACACCCAAGCCAACCACACGGGTTGACTAGAGCCGCTGTTGAAAGGCTGAAGGCTGAGCTTCCCGAGGCCAGGTGTTTTGTGGGTATAATATCTGACAGCGCTAACAGGTTGCCAACCAAAGCAGATGCCAATCTGGCAAGCTTTCACTATTACTTCCCCCACTTCGCTTTCCCCAAGAACCTCGGCCAGCCATGCAGAAAGTAAACAAGGGCCAGCTGGACCAGCCGGACGAGCCGGATTTTTTTTAAATTTTGGCAAGTGGAGTCCCTGTTTCTCCTCATTCCTCACAGATCTAGATATTTAATGTCCTTTGCATGTTGTCGAGTTGAGAACAGAGGTTTTATCCATTCAACAGGAGCAGAACCAACCACCTCCACCCCTTGATAGTCCCTAGGGCGCTTTTATACAGATTATACTGTTAGATCTCAAGATAACCCGGTGAGGATGATTGTGTAGGGGTTGTTATCCTCTACCCCAGACATGAACACACCGGGGCTCACGGAGACGAAGCGGTTTGTCCCAAGTCCCACAGCCCCGAGTGAAAGGGCCAGGGCTTGCACATAAGTAGTGATGAGCGTTCTCCTTCCTCTTTAATTACTTCGGCAAGATCAACAGAATAGAAATGGAATCAGATCATTCTGGTGTCAAACAAAAGCAAGAAAAAAAAATGCGTGGAAGTATAGCAACTTACAGGCTTAGGAGGTCCATCCCAGGTAAGTAGGCAGGGAAAAAAAACCTAAGCGCCCTCCTGACCTCTTCCCCTGAGGTCCACCCTGACCTAAAAATGAACCTTTCATTTTGGATTCTTGTACTCAACCAAGAATGCATCTTTCATCCTAGATTCCTGCTGGGCGCCCAGAGCAGGATCTGCCAGACTCAAGGAATTTCACCAGGTTGGGTTACGGGGAAACGGAAGATTCAGAGCGTTCAGACGCGAACCAATTATGCCTAAACCAACCAGCGTCTAAAACGGCAAGTGGCTCTACAGACCCACGAGGAAAACATCCAGCAAGAATCAAGCGGTCACTAGCGCCCGACCACTGCCCGCCTGGCACCCACGTTCAGAAAAGCCCAGAGCCCGCCAGCACCAGGCTTGGTGGGCGGGCGCCGACTCCTCGCGCATGCTCCAGGCGCGCACGCATGCGCCTCTTCGGCAGTTGCCTTTTCTTAGTAGTCCCTACCCCCTCCTCCTTGTTGATCCGAACGCAGGCTACCTCAGCCACGGCTTTCACTGCGCATTACTCACCTTGCGCCCGGTTTTCTCTCGTAGGGCCTTCAGCCGTTCCTTTCGCCGCAACGCTTCTTCCTCTAGCCGGCCCATACCAGCCGCAGGAGCAGCCATCTTGCCCGCCGACCCCCTCCGCTTCGCTTGTATTCCACCACGCAGGCCCAATGAGTATATGACTCTCACAGCCAATCCAGAGACGAAAATGAGAGAGCAGGAAGTCCTGAAGGCCAATCAATGCTAAGTTGCTATAGGAGGGCCCGCCCCCTTCCTCCCATACAACTGGTCTAGCCAGTAGGAGGCGGGCAAAGCTGTAAGGCTTAATGCGTCCAACGCCAATCAGAGAGAAAGCAGCAAGTGGAACAGACCTAAATGAAGGAGGATAGAGCGCGTCGATCGCTCTGATTTTGCCTAAGCGCTGACCACAGCTCGCTCCGTGCCCGCCACTTGAAATGCACTGACCCAAACCTTGTTCACTTGTTCTGATTCTTCAAGGCTCGAACGCCCTCAAGAGCAGCCTTTTCTGACTTGCCACTCTGACCCCAGCCAAATAGGAGGTCTATCTCTCCCTTCGTGTCCACCTACTAGTGGCTCCTTGGATGTCCATGGGTCCCAAGGCCCTTCTGTATTCGCTCTCAGCTCAGACAAAGCCTGCGCAGTGCAGGGCTAGCCTGGATGGCCATTTCCCTTCGGGCTCATGGGTGATCCCCTACCACCTCCAACATCCCTGGAGTGGCAGAATACCCAGGGTCAGCCTACCTAACCTGTCGAAGAGCATTCCCCAATCTGGGCCCAGTGGGCCCCAAGAAACCTCTGGAGCTTAGTTCCTGAGAACTGGGCCCAGAGTTGGTTTGGCCTCAACCGCTCCAGATGGCCACCAGGTGCACTGCTCCCCAGCAGGAGCTGCCAGGGTCTTCTTTCCTGCATTAATCAGCATTCCCTGACAACCGAGAGACCCCTTTGGCTGAGGTCAAGATATCCTGACAGCACGTCGGGGTCCCCAAAGCCCCATCTCCTCCCAGCTGAGGAGACAAAGTCCCCTTTGCTGCACACCTTCATCTTGCTCCCCCCAAACGACGTTCTTAACCTGGGCCTTTTGGCACCCTATCCCCTGCATCAGGTGGGTGCCCTGCTAGGGCCTGGTATGAATGAAGGAAGCGGGTACTTAGGGAATGTCAGCTCTGGTAGGATGGATGGGGCGGGAGAAAAGGCCAGAGTGGAGGGGCTGCCTAAAAAGCCAGAAGGACAGAGCAGGATGGGGATGGGGGCAGGGTCTGTCTTCCCAACATCTAGGGGGGGCTCCAGACTGGTCAAGTCCTACATCTAGTCAAGCCCTACAACCTCTCTGAGCCCCCACAAACTTCTCCCCAGCCCCAACAAAGGGCCTGACCCCTGCCCAACACCAGGGGGCTCCCTCACCGCCCAGGCGGGCTGGAAAGGTGGATCCAGAGAAAGAAGCCCAGGGTGCATGGTGGCAGTGGCCCAGCAAAGGGGTAGTCAGGCTTCTGTCCCTGGCTGCACAGGTAGTCCTAATTTGGCCCATCTGGGAATCGGTTTCTCTTTCTGTAAAACAAAGGCATGAGGCACCCTCTTGCCTTTAACGTCTTAAGGTTAAAGAAAACAAAAGATGTGAAATAAGTGCTGAACCCTGGAGTGGAGGGTGTTTTCTCTAGAGCAACTAGGAAAGCTTCTTTCCTGAAGGGGAACACCACCAACGATTGGCTAAATCTCCCAGGGATCTGCCCGATAGATGGGGGGCACTGCTCCTCCCAGAGGTTATTTCAGGCTTGTTCTGCTGTTCAATGATCCCCATCCTGCTCCACAAACAGTAGATGCAAAAAGTGCCACTTCGGTCTTCCCACAAAGCGCTAAGAACAGCACCTGCCACGGGGTAAGCTCTACAAGTGGTCGTCATGGTTAGTGTTATCATCACTTGTTGAAGGGCCCTGGACACTGTCCACGGCCCGCCGCTCCTTCCCCTCACCCTGCGAGCCTTTCCCTTGCACGAAGGGTGGCAATTCTAGCCGGGCGGGCTAAATCTCAGGCGTATCTGGACCCAGGGCAAGTCTGGAATCTCTGACCCCGATCATCTTCAGGGCTCAGATTGGCCCTTTCCAAGGCACCGGTAGGGGCGGACTGCGGAGGGCGGGGCTATGGGGCGCCCTCCAGGGCCTCAGGCACCTCCTTCCGCCCAGCTCCCCGCCCTTTGCACGGTCCCAGGAGGGGCGGGGCGGCGGTGGCGGCAGCTAAGTGCAGGAAGCCGGGCGGCAGTCGGCGGGAGGAGGGGCGTGCAGATCTGGGTGGCTCAATGCGGCGGGGGCCAGTACTACTTACCCCAGTAGTACCTCGCCGCTCCGCCCCGGAGTGACGCCCTCCGCCCATGGGCCTGGCCGAGGGCAACCGGCGGGCGGCGCGGAGGAGGCGGCGGCGGCAGGTGGCGCGCAGCAGGGCCGGAGCCGGGCCGGGCCATGGCCGCCTCGGAGCGGCTCTACGAGTTGTGGCTGCTGTACTACACTCAGGTGAGGCTGCCCCGCCCCGCTCCCGCCGTGTCCCCGGCTCCGCGCGTCCCGCGCCTGCTGCACCTGCACCCCGCGCCGCCGGGGCCGCGTAGATTCGCGCGCGCTGGGCGTGTTCGGGCTCCGCACACTCGCGTGCGCCCCGGGCCCTCGGGTGCCACTGGCACTTACACCTGGGGAACTATCCTCGCGGGCGCGCACTTCATAAGAACCTCTTGGATGGGGACCGCGCGGCGTCAGTCTTGCCGGAGAAGGAGTTGGACCAAGACCGCCCGGCACTTTCCCTTTTTACAAACTGGGAAACTGAGGCCGGGAAGCAAAATGAAAGATTGGCGCGGGGTCGGCCGGAGCCGAGAGCCTTAGTTTGCATTTAGTCTTGCCCCTCCTGTGGGTGTGGCCCCGTTGGGTGATCAGGGCCCTAGAGTTTGAGTGAGCTAGGGGTTATGCAGCCGAGGCGTCCCTACTGCGAGTCGACTCCAGTCAACTCTGACACAACCCCTTCCCCAGGGAACCGGCAGTGACGAGCTCCTGCCTGACCCCTAGCAGCCCCGGGTCCAGGTCCAAGAAAAGATTTGCCTTAGATGCAGAGGGTGGCGGGAGCAGGGTGAGCTAGGAGGAATGTCGGAAAGGGATGGAGGGACGCCCTTTCCTCCTGAGCTCCGGGTCGTGTCTGAGAGGGTACCTCAGGTGGCCGCCGAAGGTGAAGACAGTGACTGACCTAGGCGTCTGTCAGAGTCGAGAACCTGGTGTCTCCCGAACTCTGTGTCTCATGCACAGGGGCCCCCACTTTTCTTCTGCATCTGCCACAGGGAGGAATCCCTGGGCAATGTCCCCTCCCCTTCACCCAGTACCAGCCTCCCTCCCTGCACCTGCTTGGCATCGTGCTCCTGGCTCAGGTGTGCCCTGGGCACAACGGACTATTGTGTGCCCCCGATCTTGTCACGGGGTGGGGGCGGGAGTTCATGCTCACAGTCAGCTGGCCCTCAGTGGAGAGGCTGCCCAGCTGTCTCCCAGGACTACAGGCCGTGTCTGGGGCCCCGGGGACCTGGAATCCAGGCCATAAGGGCCACGGCTTCTTGAGTCCACTCGGGTGGCCAGAGGTCCGGGCCCCTGGCAGGAGGTACTGTGTGGAGCAGAGTCCTTCTGTGGTGTGACCCCAGGCAAGCTCTTTCCTTCTCTGAGCTTCCCTGTCTGCAAGTTTGGCACAGCCCTGACCTCAGGAGTGGCCTGTGTGGCCGCTGCAGAGCGGTAGCCAATGTGGCTGGTCCGGGCCGGAGAAGGCTCCTGCGTCCCTGGCCCCACTGGGTCCCCTCGCCCCAGACTCGGTGTTCATCTCCAAGGGCTGGTCTTTGTAAAGGAGCGAAAGGCCCAGGAGGAAACCTGCCCCTGTGGCCGTGGGCAGGTTCACCTGTGACCGGGTGATGAGTCTGAGGGATGTTAATGACGGGTCATCAGGCTGGGTGGCATGCGGCTGAGGGAGGGTGCGTCCCGCTACCCCTTCCAGATGACCTCTGCAAATGGTCAGCCCCCCTATTCCTTCAGGAGGTGTTTAGCACTTCTCTGCGCCGACTCTCCACGCCCCCCAGCTCCTCACCTCAGGGGGCAGGTATGGGGCACAGACTGGCTGGTTGCAGTCTTGGGTGCCCGGACGGACAGGCAGGGGGTAGCCCGGGGCCGGGCAAACAAATCCAGGATGTGAGCGTGAACTGGGAGCCAGGCGGGGCCAGGCCGCCCGGGGAGAGGAAGCTCAGCACGGCCTTCCTGCCCACTCGGTGCTGCTCCTGCTCCCGGAACGCTGTCCCCACCCCTGCGCGCCGGCTCCCGGGGAGCTGCGGCTGTGCTGCTTGGGGCCCTGCTAGGGACCGAGTGTGTGTGTGTACTTGGGGGGAGGGGGGAGCTAAGGTAAAGGGTTGCACTGATAAAGGGTGTTAAGAGACCCCTGAGCTGGCCAGCTGCTCAGCCGGCCGGAAGGCTCCCCCAGCACCTGTGCCCCTCCCTTCCGAAGCCAGAGCTGACATCAGCTGGCAAACCTGTTTCCCCAGTTGTGGGTCCTGGCCCGCCCTAGGGAGTAACCCCCTCTCTGCCCTTCCTTTCCCCTCACAGATCCCAGACTTAGGCCCCCCACCCCCAGCCCCACCCCTGTGGGCCCCAGCGCGGGGAGGGGCTGTGGGTGTCTCCTGAAGGAGGGGAGAGTGCCACGTCCTTCTGTCTGAGTCCCTCGGGGTCCTCATGGGGAAACCAAGGCAGGGTCATATCAAGGTCATTAGACAAGTTTGGGGCAGAGCCCAGCAGAGGCCCTGCCCAGCCTCTGCCCTGCGCCCCTTTACCCAGGAAAGGTCTAGACCTGTGGGCAGGAAGCCTCGGGTGGGTCCACCCGGGCTGTTCTCTCCACGTGGAGCCTCCCCGCCCCTTCCCCAGACCAAGCCGAGCCTCAGCCCAGGGTGTGCCCCTTTTAACCCTTATTGTGTGGCTACTATGGGGGTGCAGCTCCCCAGCACCTCACATTGAGTAGGGCCCCCCCGGGCTCAGCTGAACGGCTGGACAGAGGAGAGACCCACAGCAGGGACCCATCGAGGAAGCCACGCCACAGGGGACAGGAGCAGCGGGAGCAAGAACATGACAGTGGAGTGAGGGGGAGGCCTGGGGACAGGTGGGGGCACATCCGGGGGTCGCCACCCACCAGGGCCTCTCCAGGGAGGGCATGGGAAAGGGGTGAGAGGGTGAGGGGGCTGGGGACGGCACCCCACAGGCTGGTATAGGGCAGCATGTAAAGATCATGCAAAGTAGCATTCAAATGAGTGGCCCCCTTTCTGCTGGGGCAGCAGTGTCCCTCAAACGCCCCCGGTGACAAGGAGCCGTGAGGGCACCGAGCCCAGGAGCACTCCAGATCGCAAAGGCCAGGCCAGGACGGACATTCGGGCTCCAGGTGGGGAGTCCAGGCTGAACTGTCCAGTTTGGCCATTGAGGACTCAGGGCTCCAGGGAGGCCGGGTCAGAGCTGGAGTTGACCTTGCTCTGCCCACCCTTCCCTGGTTCCTCACCCCTGGCGGGTGACCTCATGGAAACCCAGTCAGGCCCTCTGCTCCCTCGGGGACCTTAGCTGGGTCATATGCCTTCCTGTGCCCCAGTTCGCCTTCTTATAATGGGAAAAAGGACGGTGGAGTGGCTCGGCCCTCCATACCCCACTGGGGCAGCCCGGGTTTCCTCCTCCCTGCCCTCATTACCCAGGCAACTGCAGGGGGTGGGACTGGAGAGTTAGGGAGAGGAGCAGAGCTCAGGGTGGGGAGAGTTCAATCCCTGGGGTTGTTATGGCAACTGGGGAGCTGATGTGGAATTGTGGGGTCCCCATGGTAACAAGGTCTCTTACTCTGGGGACCCTCGAAGGAAATTACTTGTTTCCACAGTGATAGGACATGGGTATTATGGAGACCGGAAGGTCTATGCCTCCCAAGAACCCCTCCCCAAGTAAGAGGCAGAAACTGGCCCCGCCACCTGGGCCCTTGAACCACTGTCCTCAGGAGTCCTTGCCCTGGCAAAGTCTCCTTCGTCTTCCTGCCTCAGCCCTTGGTCTGAAGTCCTCCGAGTCTGACTTCCACTCCTGCTGTAGTCGAAAGCCGCCTTCCACGTCTCATTGCCATCCACCGCCCCCCCCCCCGCCCCCACGCTGTGGAGTGGGGAGGCCCCCGGGCATGGGACAGGTCATCCTGATCAGACCCCACCCTGTCCCGGATCTCCCTGCCTCTTCCGGGAGTGGAGGTGCGCATTCCCACCTGGGCAGCCGCGGTCTCCTCTCCCTGCCCCACCCCCAGCTCTCTGCTGGGGCCCCCGTGAGACTCCCATTGCATGTGCCTGGGACAGCGTGCTGGGGATTGCCCCCACCATCTGTCCCTCACGGAGATGGGGGGGGAGGCGCTGAGTGTTGCCCTGGAATGCCAGAGGCTTGGGAAGGCGGAGGAGCCCCTGGGTTTGGGGGTGAGCCCCCACTGGCCCGACCACGTGCTGGTGGGTGTAGTGGGAGGGTCTTGACCACTTAGGCAAACTGATGGGTTTTAAAGAGGCCCCTGCGGTGCAAAGAGAACATTCGTGTTCGGTGACACGCTAGCGAGTGTGAGAACCCAGTCCGGGCTCCAGAACCCGCGCCCTCAACCGCGTGTGTCAGGCGACCCCCGCCTCCGGAGCACCGGACGGGGGTGGGTCTGGGGAAAGGCGCTGCTTCTGGTGGGGGGCGCTTAGGCAGAGGAAACCTGGAGAGCAAAAAGCTCGTGCAGACCTCTGGGTGGGGCAGCGAGTGACAACCTCAGGCTGGGGCACCTGTGAACACGGGCACCCGAGCTGGCAAGGCGGAGGGCCCCGCCCATGCGGGCTTCGGTTGCAGGCAGGGGTGCTGTGGACTTGCCCTAAAGCTCGTGGCAGGGTGGGAGGCTGGCTGACGGGACAGCGGTGGTACCTGAGGGGTTTCGGAGATGCGCTCCACGCCGGGTACCATTGAAGCAGTTTCTGTGTACCGTCACTTGTAACCCCCCGCCCCCATGAGGAGGCTCGGGGGCGGGGATGAAGGGTTTGAGGCAAGGTGTGAGCCCTGAGATAAGGCACCGGGCGAGCCAGGGCTGTTGTCAGGCTTGGGGTAGAGCAAGCAGGTCTAGGAACCCCACAGCATCTGGCAGTTCGGTGGTCCCTGCCCCCCTGGCAGACAGCCCCAGCCACCCACCCGCGCCACCGCGGCCTGCCCCCAGCCCAGGTCAGGGAGCTCCCCGTGCATTCCGTGCCGGGCACAGTCGCGGCAGGGGTGAGAACCTGGGCCAGGGGTGAGAACCTGGGCCGGGACAGGCCTGCCCTCACCCTGGGCCCCATCTCCCGCCTGTAAAACTAGCCTCGGGTCCTTGAGCCCGCCGCAGAACAGTGCAACCCTGCCCCTGTGCACTCTGGGCGCCACCCCCGGTGCTGGGTCAGGCCCCTCACACAGCTTCTCTTGCTGGGCCTTGGGTGCCCCGGGCCCCCCCACATCCCTGCGGTCTGCCGGGAGGAAGCGGCCCTCCTCCCCCACCGTGACTCTGCGCTTCCTGCCCCGGCTGGGGCGGGAGGGGACGTTTCCCGTTCACACCCAATTTTCCCTGGCGGCACCCAGACTCGGGCTCAGCCTCTGCCCCTTTTGCCCATGGAACCAGCTCTGGGGCCTGGGGTCCAGGTAACCAGCCAGGGTGGGCGGAGCTTCCTGGGGTGTGGTAGGACATCCTTCCTGTGCGCGGGGGATGTGCCTGTGCATGGGTCTGCCTGGCCGACGGTGCGTCTGCGCCCTGGGGTCTACAGTCTAGGAGGCTGTCCTGCCCCGGTGGCTGCTGAGCTGGGAGGAGGAGGCAGGCGAGGGCCCAGCCCAAGGCTTTGGGTCGGGGCTGGATGGTGGGTGGAAGACCCTCAGCCCTGACACCGGCGTGTATGCACTTAATCCCCTCCCTCCCCTGTCTATGTCAGGCCTGCCCAGGGGGCCCCCAAGATTAGGGAGGTGGGAACCAGAGACTGGAAAGCAGATGGGGGGCCCCAGGAGAGCGGTCAGTACGTACAACAACCTCCTGATGCTGACCTTCCGACTTCCTGTCCTCCCTGGGCCCCCACCTGTACCTGTCACTCCCTTCTCCACCCCCACTGCTCCGCCCCCATTCCCTGTCCGCCCCGTGTCCCCCTCCACCCACTCTCCCCTCCCGCCCCCACCCCTGTCCCCCCAACCTGCAGAAGGACCTGGGTTACCTGCAGCAGTGGCTGAAGGCCTTTGTCGGCGCCTTCGAGAAGAGCATCTCCATCTCATCTCTGGAGCCACGCAGGTGAGGCTGGCGCTAGCTGCGTGGAGGGAGGGAAGGCCGAGGAGGGTCCTCCGCGCCCCAGTGACCTCTTCCGCCCCCCGCAGGCCAGAGGAGGCCGGTGCAGAGGTGCCACTGCTGCCGCTGGACCCGCTGCAGGTGCTGGCCGAGCAGCTGGACGAGGGGGACCTGGAGCAAACTCTGCTGCTGCTGAAGCTCTTCATTGTCCTCTGCAGGTGGGTGCCTGTTGTCCTCTCCAACCAAGGTGGGGGGAGCACGGACCTGTGGGCCAGAGGCGGCGCCGGCACATTCCTGTGACCTCTCCCATCCTCCGCTCCCCAGGAACCTGGACAATGTGGAGGCAGGCTGGGGCCGGGTGCTGGTGCCCCGCGTGCTGGCCTTACTGAGCCGGTTGGTGGCCAAGGTGAGGCGGGCTGTACCTGGGGGGGCGGCAGGGGGTAGTCAGTGCCCAGCTAACCTCCCCTTCCACTTCTCCCCACGCCCCCCTCCGACAGCTGAAAGGATCCCCGCCACTGCAGGAGGGCCAGGGCCCCAAGCTGGAGGAGGTAGCCCTGCATGCCCTCCTCCTCAGCGAGGGCCTCTTCGACCCCTACCAGACCTGGCGGCGCCAGCACAGCGGGTAAGAGCCGGCCTCCCTCCGGCAGAGGACCCCGAGGAGGCTGGGGAGAGGACGGCGGATGGGGGTGGCCGCTCTGGCGAAGGTGTGGAGGTGGGAGGGGCTGTGTGCAGGCTGGTGAGGGGAGGATGACTGGGGAAGGGCGAAGCGCCTGGCTTCACCCGGCCCCTGGCCTCCCCATCGCCACCCCCAGGGAAGTCATCAGTGCCAAGGAGAAGAGCAAGTACAAGTTCCCTCCCGCTGCCTTGCCCGCTGAATTCAGAGGCTTCTTTCCAGGTCAGGCCCCGCCCCTTCCCCACTAGGCCCCGCCCCCAAGCCAGAACCCCTTCCTGCAGTTTCTCATCCCTTACACAGGACCGGCTCAGTGGGCTTAGTGGTGGCTGCACCCGGGTCGGGGAGAACTCTGCCAGTTTGGGGGGGTGGGTTCAGGGGCAGAGGAGAGAAAGGGCATTACAATGAGTCATATCTGGGCTGTAGCGAGGCCTGCATCAGGTGGGGACATCAGTTTCCCTCCCCCCTTCCCTCCAATCTCCTGGGTCTCCCCCAAGCACCTGCACCCCACCCTGATCTGGACCATCTTAAAAGGCCCAGTGCAACCCCTTTGTGCCTGTAGCCCCCACCCCTCCTCACTGGTGTCGCCTCCACTTCCTACTCCCTCGTTCCTGGAGGGGCTGCAGCCCAGGGTGTCTCTGGCCCCTGTTCTTCCTGGGCACCCTTTTCTCCTGGGTCCCCTCTCTCCTACCAGTGGAAGGACACTGGCCAGGACCTCAGGTGGGCTCAGGGCTGGATGCTGCCTTGAGTGGGGCAGCTGGGCGGGGGAGGGCGGGGGCCGATTGGGACAGAAAGTGCTTCGCTGTCTCTGGATGTCTCGTGGAGCTGCCGGCCTGGGTCTGGGACACGGGCGGCAACAGCTCTAGGAGGGGCAGCCTCCTGGGAAGCTCCCAGCCTCCCCTGTCCCACTAGCTGAGCGCTGTTCCCGCCGCTGTCAATGGCAGTGGCCTGACACCCTCTGGATCAAACCCTGCCCCTCCCCCCATCCTTCCTTTCCAGCCCCACTTGCTCCCTGCACCCCGGCGGTGGCCCCGTCCTCTCATCCCTAGAATGCACAAGGTGACCCACCACCAGGCCTTGGCCACTGGGTCCCCCCCCCTTCACAGGCCAGCTGTGCTCCCAGGCCTCACCTCTAAAGCCCTGTCCCCCATTAGGCCTCCCAGCCCATCGCCCCTGAATCAGGCCAGCCCTGCCCTTACGCCTCCCCCCGCCACACCACCCATGTGACCTAGGACCGGTCCTTTCTGCTCTCTGGGTTTCAGTCTGCGGCCTGGCATCCTCTCCATCCTACAGATGACTCTGTGAAAGCCCCTAGAACTCCCCGGAAGGGGCACGGGTGGGGGTGGGGGGACAAATGTATGCTAGACACAAGCAGGGTCCCCAGAGCTCCAACCGTCACTAGGCAGGGGGACTGGGAGATTTGCATCTGAGAAACTAAAACCTGGGTTTCCATGGGGGGCAGAGTGGGGGTGGGATGTGCTCACCCCTGGGTCTCCACTGCGGGGCTTGAGGTCTAGGGAGCTAGCCAGGGTCTCAGGGCAAGGCCATGTTCCTTTTAAGCTCCCCAAAGAAGGGCTGTGCCCCCCTCAGGCCTCCCCGCCCCCACCCCCACCCCAAGGCTCCCACCTCTCGTGTAGACCCCTGGCGGATCCACAGCCCTGCAAGTTTGGTGACATTGTCCTGTCCCGCCCACCCCACCCTACCCAGAGAGCCTGCAGGATGCAGATCGCCTGCCTCCCACGCTGCTGCTGCGTCTCATCCACCTCTTTGGCGCCATCCTTGCCGGAGGGACGGTAGGCTGGGTGGAGCCTGTGGGCCGGAGGGCAGCGGTCTCAGGGTCTCTGCTGGGCGCGCCCCTCGCCCACTGGCCGTCTCTGTCCACACCTGCAGGAGAATGGGCAGGTGGCCGTGAGCGCCGGCTCCGTGCAGGGCCTGCTGGATGTGGTGCAGGGCTGCGGCCGTGGGCCGGCCCCGGACTCCCGCCAAGTGTCGCTGGCGCTGGAGGCGCTGGTGGGTGCGGCACACGTTCTGCACGCCAGCCGCACACCCCACCGAGTGCCAGAGCTCCGCACGCTGCTCGAGGGCTACTTCCGAGTCCTTAATGCCGACTGGCCGGCGGGGCCCAACCCAGGCCATGAAGAGGCCCTTGTCTCCCTCCGAGTCAGCATGCTCGGTGGGTGTGGACTCCCAGATTCTTGGGGAGGTGGCCCTGGGAGGGGACGGCCCAAGGGACGATGGGAAGGCTGGACTGGGCAGTACAGGGAGGAAGGTTTACGGCGGACTGCAGGTACTGTTGGGAGGGGATCAGGCAGGGCTGACCCTCAACCGCTCCACAGATGCCATCCCCATGATGCTGGCCTGCGAGGACAGGCCGGTGCTCCAGGCCACCTTCCTCAGCAACAATTGCTTTGAACATCTCATCCGCCTCATCCAGAACAGCAAGGTGGGCGGCGCTCGGGCTGCACCAGGCTGGGGGGCGTGGCTGGCGGGGGGGGGGGGCGCCGTGCAGAGCGGCGGGCGGGCCTGCGGCTGAGGACAGCTCTGAGCCCCCCAGGGAGGGGCTGCTGTGGAAGAACGAGAGCTGCCCTGGCCCCTTGTCTCCCCTTCCCTGCCCCGGCTCCAGGTGCGGGGGCAGCAGGACGGTTTAGCGGTCTGCGTGCAGTGCCTCCTACTGCCCACCTAGCCTCCCCTCCAAGCAGGGCACGACTAGCTCGGCTTTCTCCCCTTCAGGGCCCGGAGGGGCACTCAGCCTGGGGCTCGGGGCACACCCTCCCCTCTGGGGCAAGTCCAGGCAGCCACCCCAGGCCCTGCTCTAACCCTGTCCCTCCCTCATCTTCCTCCTCTCTCCTCCGCCTCCACCCTGTGCCCTCCCCCTCCCCCACAGCTATACCTGCAGGCCCGGGCGCCCCCTGAGGGGGACAGTGACCTGGCTACCCGGTTACTGACCGAGCCCGATGTCCAGAAGGTACCACCTTGGGGCCGACCGGCTCAGAAACTGACCTCCCTGGGCAGGCACCCCCCGCCAGGCTCCCTCCGTGAGCCTCCCCTGCACTACGCAGGGATGTGCAGGTGCCAGGCCCGGTGTGGCCTGGCCATGGGGCTGGGTGTCCCGGCTGCCGGAGGGAACCTGGCAGGAGCCATCTGTGTCCTGCCCAGTGTCGCTGCTGGGAGCTGGGTTCTGGCTGTGCCAAGCTGGAGGGAACCTTCGAAACTCAGCCGCCTGCACCCGTTTCATTGGAGGGAAACAGCCCAGATAGCTATGTAGGGATTGGACTGCGGTCGCTCCCGCAGACAGAGAGCCCCCTGCATGGGGGCCACTTCTCCCCACGGGCCCTCGCACCTGCCCTGCACAAGTCCCTGGGCCGCCCCACCCTCTCACCCCCCGCTCCTGAGGTGCTCCCTGCCTCACCTTCCACGGGGGCTAGGGAGTCTCAGGGTGCCGGGCTCAGCGGGGGGTGGGGGGGGCATCCTCTGGTGCCTCGACGCCTGGGCCGCCACCCCCAGAGCCCCGCCCTGGCCTCGTCCTCAGGAGGTGGCGGCCCCGTGTGTCTGTTGCACTTGGCCGTTTTCTGAGAGCCTGCGTGTCCGTGAATCTATGAGGCAGGCGAGGCCCCCGGGTTTTACAGATGGGGAAACTGAGGCCTGGAGAGGGTCGGAAGGTGGCCCAAGGTCACTTGGGGAGCCAGGTAGGGCTGGGGGTCCAGAGCACAGCCTAGCAGCAGCAGCTGACAAGAACTCTCCCAGCAGCCCTCCTGACCCCTCACGCCCTCGGGGTGGGGCGGGGCGCATGAGCCGCCTGCTTCTGGCAGTGGGGTTCAGCCAGGGTGAGCCTCAGTGTGTCCCCCCTGGGTCTAGTGGGCAAGGGGCAGGGTAGGACTCAAAGGTCTCGAAGGTTCTTCCAGTTGTGACATTCTGTGATTGATTATCCCTAAATTCCCCGACCCCCTGTCAATCATCACGGGTGATGGGGCACTTGCCGGCCGGCCTGCACGTGTGTGTGTGGGGGGGGGGCTTGGGTCGGGGTGGGGGCGCACAGAGGCCCAGAGCCCGTCAGACAGGCGTGGCGAGAGGGGCCGCTGTTGACCTGCCCCAGCGAGGCCCTTTGCAGCCCTGGCTCTTTCCTGGCCCCTCTGTCAGAGGGTCTTGCCAAGCTGCCCGGATGGAGGGCCCGAGGGTCAGGAGGAGGGGCCGCAGCTCAGGCAAGGAGTGGAGGGCCCAGTGCCCGGGCAGGAGCGCCTTGCTCCCAGGGCCCCCACCTGCTCGGCACCCTGCCCCCAGACGCCTGCTCCCGGCCCTGCGCTCCTTGGCTGCGGGGTGCTGCCGGCTGCGACGCCCCAGCCCCTGCCTCTGCTGACTGCCCCTCCCCACCCCAAGGTGCTGGACCAGGACACAGATGCCATCGCCGTCCACGTGGTCAGAGTGCTGACCTGCATCATGAGCGGCTCCCCCTCGGCCAAGGTGAGGCCGCCGCCGTCCGCCTGCCGTAGGGGGTCGGGTGGGGGTTACATTGAACACGCGGCCCCAGAACCAGCCTGGCTGGTGGCCAGTAGAGCAGGTGCAGCTCGGGCCACTGGGCGGCGGGCAGGGTCCTCAGTCAGCCCTGGAGCTGGATGTCCCAGGTCAGGGCTGGCACCTGCTGGCTGACCGCCACCTGCAGCATTTGAGGTGGCCCCCCGCCCCTGCATCCCTCCACAGCCCCCCGCCCCTGCCGGCACAGACCAAGCAAGGGAGCCCTGAAAGCTGCTGTCCCCCACCAGGGTTTCTGAGGGGCGTGAGTCTGCCCTGGGCCCCCATGACGTTCCCTCCCCGCCCACACGCCCCTGCACAGGAGGTGTTCAAGGAGCGCATTGGCTACCCACACCTGCACGAGGTCCTGCAGAGCCACGGCCCCCCCACCCATCGGCTGTTGCAAGAGCTGCTCAACATGGTGAGGGCGGGGACTGGCCTCAGGGCCCCGGAGGTAGCTGGGGCTGAGTCAGCGCCACCGGGGAGGGCCAGCACTGTACCTTGGGGACTGTGCCGACTCTGGCCGGTGCACACTATGACCTGTGGCTGACCGCGTGTGTCAGTGTCACTGGGGCGAGGAAGCTGGGCTGTGTGGGTCTGGAAGCTGCTGCATGTCAGCAAGTCCCAGGATTACCCTGGGGACGGGAAGTTGGGGTTTAAGGCCAACCCAGACCGACAGCCAGGGTCTGGGGGTTAGTGGGGCTGAAGGGCTATCATCAGCACTGACCATCATCCACGCGCCTCCGACACTCTGAGCCCCGGATGCTCCCTGTGAGCGGAGTGGGGAGCACGAGCTGCTTTCCGACGCTTTAGGCCCGGAAGCTGAGGGAAGAGGCCCCGTTGTCCGCGGGTGGCCTGCTCCACGCCAGCTGCCCGGGGACTGTCACACTCTCTCCACCCACAGGCTGTGGAGGGCGACCACAGCACGTGCCCACCAGCACCCATCCGCAACGAGCAGCCGGTGCTGGTGCTGATGCGGTGGCTGCCGGCGCTGCCCACGGCCGAGCTGAGACTCTTCCTAGCACAGCGCCTCCGGTGGCTCTGCGACAGCTGCCCCGCCAGCCGCGCCACGTGCGTGCAGGCCGGCCTGGTGGGCTGCCTGCTGGAGACGCTCAGCGTGGGGGAAGCCCTGGGGGCCCGCTGCCAGGAGCAGCTGCTGGCGCTGCTGCAAGCATTGGGCCGGGTGTCACTAAGGCCCTTGGAGTTGCGTCGCCTGCTTCGCCCCCCACCGGGGCTGGACTCGGGGCCAGGCGGAGCTGAGGCGGGGCAGGCCCGACACGCGGGCGCCATCATTCGAGCATTATCGGGCATGGCCCGGCACGAGGGCCCTGCGAGAGCCCTCCACTACTTTGACCTCACGCCCAGCATGGCGGGCATTATGGTGCCCCCGGTGCAGCGATGGCCAGGAACCGGCTTCACCTTCCATGCCTGGCTCTGTCTGCATCCCGCGGCTGCGGCCCCCACCCAGGCCCCCTCCCGGCCACTCCAGCGGAAGCAGCTGTACAGGTGGGTGAGTGCCAGGGGGCAGAGTGGCCGGGTGAGCGGGAGAACCGGCAGGCGTGACGGGCTTCTCCTGCCCCCAGCTTCTTCACCAGCAGCGGCTCGGGGTTTGAGGCCTTCTTCACGGCGGCTGGGGCCTTGGTGGTGGCCGTGTGCACGCGGAAGGAGTACTTCACCTTGAGCTTGCCTGATGTGACCTTCGCCGACTCTGCCTGGGTGAGCCTCCACCCTCACAGGGCCCGGGAGGGTGGAGGGGGCACCGAGCCTGAACCTACAGCCTGAGGCCGTGGCTTCCGTTCTAGCACTGCGTGACTGTCGTCCACGCGCCCGGGCGCCGGATTTTCAGCCAGAACCTGGCGCACGTCTACAAAGACGGCATTCTGGTCAAGACTGCATCCCTCCGCTGCCCCTCCCTCAGTGAGGTGCGCCGGGGAGGGGGCGGTGTTGGGGGGGGCTCTGGGTGGCTGGGTGGACTTGGGTAGGGTGGGGTCTGGAGCCCCAGTGTCTCCTCCTCCCCAGGCCTCAGACTTCGCCTCTGGGGGCTGTGCAGCCGTGGGGGTCACTGTGAGGAACCCCAGGCCTCACCGTGACCTGACTGCTCCCCCAACCCCGCAGCCTTTCTCCTCCTGCTGCATCGGCTCCGCTGGGCACCGCACCACGACCACCACCACGGGGCCGCCGGCACCGCCAGTCCCCACTGCCCTGGCTCACGCTCACCCCTCCCTCACCCGCTCCCAGTCCGTCCCGGCCACCACGGAGCTCGGCCGGGGGTCTGGGCTGACGGCCCCCCTGCAGGAGGGCAGCATCAGCTCCACCCTTGCAGGCACGCAGGACACGCGCTGGGGCAGCCCCACCTCCCTGGAGGGCGAGCTGGGGGCCGTGGCCATCTTCCATGAAGCCCTGCAGGCGGAGGAACTGAGGGTCCTGTGCACCCTGGGTATGCAGCCCCTGCCCCACCCCCGCCTGGCCTCAGCCCCTCCTCCAGTGTCCCAGAGTCCGGTGGCTGGGACTTCCAAAATGCCCAGGCTAGAAACTGGGGGTCTGGCACAAGAAGGCATCCCTGGGGGTCCTCTGATCAGGGCTCTGGACGGCGTTTGGCCGGAGGCTCAGCCAAGTCTGAAGGCCCCTGTCAACCCCCAGGGCCCAATGAGACAGCCCCCTTCAAGCCCGAGAGTCAACTGCATGAACTTGACACCAAGCTGCTCCTCCATTACTCACCTCAGGTACTGCGGGGGGGTGGGGGGGGCAGTGGGCTCAACACTGTTACCTCCCCCCGGCTCCCGCACTGTCTGCCGCCCCTTCCTCCAGCTGACCCTTGCCCCCTGCTCACCCCGTGCCCCCAGGCCTGTAAGAACAACATCTGCCTGGACCTGTCCCCTGGCCATGGGCTGGACGGCCGCCTGACAGGCCACACGGTGGAGGCCTGGGACGTGAAGGTGTGTGTATGTGTGTGGGTGGTGTGTGCAGGACGCGTGAGCATGGGCACGCGTGTACGGGGCGGGCTGGGGAGGGACACTGTGACCTGGGAGGTCTTTTTATGTATTTATTTTATTGGCGTTAGAGAGAGAAAGGGAGGTGGGAGGGAGAGAAACATCAATTTGTTGTTCCACTTATCATGCATTCACTGGTGCCCTGGCCGGAGATCTCACCCGCAACCTTGTGTATCGGGATGACACTCTGACCAACTGAGCTACCCGCCGGGGCCTGGGAAGTCTTAGGAGACCTGGGTTCAAGGGAGCAAAAGTCCCGGGACCCGAGTTCCCAGACCGGAGGGCGTCCTGGGTGGTGCGGGTCAGGAAATGGAGGAGAGCTGCCGTCTCACAGCCGGCCACCGACCCTAGGATGTGGTGAGCTGTGTGGGCGGCATGGGCGCCCTGCTGCCCCTGCTAGAGCGCGTGGCCACGCAGCCCCAAGCGGCCGAGGCAGGTCCAGCTGAAACACATGACCTTGTGGGGCCCGAACTGACCTCGGGCCACAACAGCCAGGGCCTGCTGCTCCCACTGGGCAAGTCCTCAGGTCAGTGTCCCTGCTGCCATGGCGGGGCGGAGGGTGTGCTGGCGTACCTGAGGTCTCTGTGGCCACTGGCGGGCCCCTGATGCACGTCTGTCCTCTTCCTGGTGGCCGGCAGAGGAGCGGATGGAGAGGAACGCAGTGGCGGCCTTCCTGCTGATGCTGCGGAACCTGCTGCAGGGCCACGCTGTGAACCAGCAGAGCCTGGTGCAGTGCCAGGGGCCCGCCATCGTCGGGGCCCTCCTGCGCAAGGTGAGCCTGCCGGGCGGGGCGGGGCGGGGCGGGGGTCTGCCCTGTCTGACGGGGGGAGGGGGGGACAGCTGGAGAGCCCCCTGGGAGAGGTGGCACCAGAGTGGGGCTTTGGAAGGCTGGGCAGGGTTCGGCTGAGCCCAGGCTGGGACAGGGCTCCGCACGGCAGGCTGGGGAGCTTGCACTTCGGGGACAGGACGGAGCCCCTGAGGGGTTCTGCGCAGGCAGGAGCCTGTGCCCCTCCGCCTGTGCCGGACGGGGCGGGGGCTCGGCAGCGGGTGGGCGGGGCCTGACGTCTCACCCCGGCTCCTTCCGCTCCAGGTGCCCAGCTGGGCCATGGACATGAATGTGCTCATGTCTGCCCAGCTGCTGATGGAGCAGGTGGCAGCTGAGGGCGGTGGACCCCTCCTGTACCTGCTCTACCAGCACTTGCTGTTCAACTTTCACCTCTGGGCCCTCAGCGACTTTGCTGTACGCCTTGGTAGGTGTGGGGACTCTGGTGAAGGGACAGTGCCCGGAAGGGTGGTGGTAGAGGTTCTAAGAAGTTACAACCCCGCTCTGAGTGATCCGAGGGGACATATTTGCTCTGGGGCGTCTGAGGGGAGCATGACCCTCCCTGGAGGCAGCTGGTAGGAGGATTGGAAAGGGCCCAGCTCGCGCTGGTGGCTTGAGCCCTCTGCTGATGCCCACTCAGGCCACATCCAGTACATGTCCAGCATAGTCCGCGAGCACAGGCAGAAGCTGCGGAAGAAGTACGGGGTTCAATTCATCCTCGATGCCCTACTCACCCACTACAGGTGAGGCTAGTGAGCGGGCAGAAGACCGAGGGGCTGCCCCAGCGGCCTCTGGCCTTGGGGACAGGGCAGTTAGGTCCGCCAGCTCACCTGCCCACTCTCCCTGTTCTGTCCTGTCTGTGCCTCTGTGTTCCCCTGACCCTGGGTGGTTGTGCGTGCTTGCTGGGACCCGTCCAGCCCGCAGCGGGAGCGCCCTCTAGCGGCCGACGACCTGCGCACAGTGCAGACTTCACTCCTGGGCCTGGCGCGGGAGTTCCTGGTACGAAGCCCTTCAGCTGATGACTTGCAGGTCGTGCTGAACTTTCTGGCAGCTTCAGGTGATGATGGCCAGGTAGGCTGGAGCTTGGTGACGGGGAGGCTTGGTGGACGGGTGGAGTGTGGACCACGTGGGGAGGCCCAGCCTAGTGTGAGCCCTCGTCTCCCCAAGGTGTTGGGCGTCCTGGACCTGCTGCTGGCACTGCTGCAGAGCTCGTCCACGCAGGAGTTCCTGGCTGCCTTCCTGCTGGGGCCGGGGAGCCTGGAGGTGCTGCTAGCGCTGCTAGTGCAGCCACGGTCCCTGCCCCTGCTGTCCGACCGCGTCTGCCAGGTACACCAGCCCACCCTGGCATCCCCTTGGCTGTGGCCCGTGCTTGAGGTCCAGGGAGACGCAGCAGGCCTTGGGCTGGCAGAGGAAGCCACCTTTGCAAGCCTTTCTTGGAACCGCACACCCGCGTGGTGACTGCGCCCCTCCGGTAACCTCTTCCCGGTGATGACACCGCCCACCATTCGCACACAGATCCTGCGCAGGCTGCAGCAGAACGAGCGCTTGTCTGAGCGGAGCCACCAGCAGCTCTGGCTGCGAGAGTGTGGCCTCCAGGGCCTTGTCGCCTGCCTGCCGGAGGCGGTGGTCTCCCTTCAGCTCTGCCAGAACCTCTACAAGCTGTTCCTGGGGACAGGTACGACCTGGTGGGGGCAAAAAGGCAGGCCAGGTAGAGGGGTGACGTGGACCCAGGAAGAGGGCAGGTGGGAATAGGGAAGGCGTTGGTACAGGGGCTGAGGCTGAGCCAGCAGGGGACTGCAGCCCCTGCTGGGGTCAGTCGCTCAGGCCCCATTGGCCATCCTCCCAGACTGCCCGAACCTCTCAGACCTGATGGCTGTGGTGCAGCTGTCCCTCCAGGCTGACCTCAGCGTCCGTCTGTACATCTGTCGCCAGGTGGGTGTGGGAAGCGAAAGCTCTGATGGGGGCGGGGGAAGCTACCCTGAGGACTCACTTTGTCTGCCATGGGTGAGAGGTCTCTGGAAGCGTCCCCTGCAGAGCCCCAGGGCCGGGGGTGGGGGGTGGATCTCTTGGACGCACCCCTCACTTGCTGTGCCCCCGCCCCCAGCTCTTCCACCTCATCCACAAACAGCCCGACGTCGTGCGGCTGCTGGCCCGGCAGGCCGGCTGGCAGGATGTCCTGACGAGGCTGTATGTGCTGGAGGCCGCCACAGCCGGCGGTCCCCTGCCCTTTCCCCCCGAGCAGCCCGCCTCCCCAGAGCCAGCCGTGCCCAAGCCGCCCTCGGAGTCACCCGACCCTTCAGATGTCTTCCTGCCCTCGGAGGCCCCCTGCCCTGACCCTGATGCCCTTTACCAAGCTCTGTCCCCGTTCTGCGCACCCTTTGACTTGGGCCTGGAACGGTCCAGTGTGGGCTCAGGCAGTACCACAGGTGGTGGCGGCGGCGGCGGTGGTGGCGGCAGCAGCAGCGGGACTCTTACTCCGGCCAGCCAGCCTGGCACACCTTCCCCGCTGGATGGGCCCCGGCCCTTCCCCGCTGCCCGAGGCCGCCACAGCTCCAGCCTGTCCAACGTGCTGGAGGATGGCAGCCTCCCCGAGCCCACCGTCGGCGGGGATGACATCTCTAATACCAGCAACCCACAGGTGAGACGGGCCCGCCCCCTGCCGCTGCGGGGTGCGAAGGGAGGACACCTCCGGGACCCGGGGCAGGCTGTGCAGCCTTCCTCCAGGTGCGGTCCTGTCTGACATCACAGCCGCAGCTGCCGGTGGGGTCCCGGGACGGGGCAGAGACTTTCCCGGGCCTGCGGACGGCTCCCGGGGTCCTACCTGGTGCTTATGAGTTTGGTGACGGGCTTCTGCTTATTCTGTGACGTTCTTCCAGAGGACTCCAGGACAGTTCTCGAGGCCTGTGAGGACTGAGGTGTAATTTCTGAACTGCCAGACCTTAGGAGTCTCTGAAGCCCCAGGATTCCCCCTGGGATCCAGGCAGTGGCCGAGGCCACACCGCCACTCACCCAGGCCTCAGAGCCAGGCCACCTGTGGGCGGAATGCTCTGTCTCCTGTTGCCCTTACTAGTGGTGGGCAGGGGGTGCTGAACGGGGGTCACGTGGGGTCAGCCGGGGTCAGCCTGATCCCCTGCGCCCCCAGCCCACCCCTCACACCTCCCGTCTGCGCCCACAGCAGACCCCTGAGGAGGAGCTGTGCAACCTGCTCACCAACGTGCTGTTCCTGGTGATGTGGCGGGGCGTGGAAGGCAGCGACGAGGCCGCGTGGCGGGAACGTGGCCAGGTCTTCTCAGTGCTCACCCAGCTGGGGGCCTCGGCCACACTCGTGCGCCCGCCGGACTGCATCAAGCGCAGGTGAGGAGGCGTCTCTGGAGGGCGGGGGCGGGCGGAAGCCTGAGGGTGAGGCAGTCGGTCAGGGAGACACCTGAGTCCCTCACCCATCCCCAGCCTCCTGGAGATGATGCTGGAGTCAGCCTTGACGGACATCAAAGAGGCCCCTCCTGGGGCCCTGGCCAGCCTCATCCAGCAGGTGCTTTGGCTGCTGCGCCTGCTGCAGGACTTCCTGTGCGCGGAGGGCCACGGCAACCAGGAGCTGTGGAGCGAGAAGGTGGGCCCGCTCAGAGGGGTGTGAGCCGTGTGCCCCCCGAGCCCGAGGGTCTGGGGGGATGCGTGTGTGCGTGCAGTCCCGGGGGGGCTGGCACAGGTGACTGTGCTCGAGGAGTTGCCTGTATGCACAAACCCGACCTGGCCCCCCACCCAGACCTTACCTTGCTCCCTCCCCCTGGGCGTCTGGCCTCTCCTGGTGACGGCTGCGGGGCACATGTCGTGTGGTAGCTCTTCGAAGGTGTGTGCAGCCTGCTTGATCGCCTGGGAGCCTGGCCCCACCTGGCCGGCGGCCCCTCGGACCTCCGAGAGATGGCGCAGATTGGGCTGCACCTCGTGCTTGGCTACATCCTGCTGGAGGACCCGCAGGTGAGCCCAGGGTGGTCGTGGGGGAGGGGCAGGTGCAGGGTGCTCCGGGAGCGGCTGGGCACCACCCGCACTTTCCTTCTGCCCCCAGCTGCACGCCCAGGCCCACGTGAGGCTGCACTCGCTGCTGCAGACCGCGGTGCCCATGCGCCGGGAGGAGGCCTGCTACGTGCTCTCCAAACTGGAGGCCGTGCTGTCGCGGGCGCTTCACGCCTGCGATGTGGCCGCCGAGGACCAGGAGACCCCCACCAGGGCTGCTGCATCTACGGAGCGCTGCTCCTGGCTGGTGCCGCTGGTGCGCACGCTGCTGGACCGCGCCTACGAACCGCTGGGGCTGCAGTGGGGGCTGCCTTCCCTGCCGCCCACCAACGGCAGCCCCACCTTCTTTGAGGACTTCCAGGACTTTTGTGCCACGCCCGAATGGCGTCACTTCATCGACAAGCAGGTGCCCGGAGGTGGGGGCACGAGGAAGAGAAGCGTGGGCTGGGAGCCCGCGTCGAGCACTGGCACTCTTTCCCTGCCCAACCCTCCAGGTGCAGCCCACCATGTCCCAGTTCGAGATGGACACCTACGCCAAGAGCCACGATCTCATGTCGGGCTTCTGGAACTCCTGCTACGACACACTCATGAGCAGCGGGCAGCGGCGCCAGCAGGAGCGGGCACATAGTCGTCGGGACTTCCAGGTGTGCTCCTGCGGTGGGGGACCCCTGACGGGCGGGGACCGGAAGAGGAAGCAGCCCCCTGGGATTCACCTATCGCTCTACTCTCCCCACCCCGCAGAAGCTGGTGCTGGAACCCGTGCAGCGGCGGGTGCGCCAGGAGGGGCTCCGCTATGCCTCGGTGCTGAAGCAGCAGGCAGCCCAGCACTCCACGGTCCTGCTGCACTGGGGGGCGCTGTGGCGTCAGCTCTCCTGCGCGTGCGGAGCCTGGGCCCTGAGGTGGGTGGAGCTTGGGGCAGGGGCGGGGCTTGGGAGCGAGAGAGGGACCAGGAGAGCCACACTGCCTTTGGGGTGAGGCCTCGGAGGAATCACCGGGGACGAATCTACAGGGACCCGCCCACATCCCGGTGGAAGATGTCCAGCGCTGAGACGTACTCGCGCATGCGTCTGAAGCTGGTGCCCAACCATCACTTCAATTCGCACCTGGAAGCCAGTGCCCTCCGCGACAACCTAGGTGAGAGGGTGTGCTGAGTTGGGTCCGCCCAACCTCAGATGCCGTTCTGCCTAGTTCTGGCTGAGCACCCTTGGCCCCATTGCAGGTGAGGCCCCCCTAACAGCCACCGAGGAGGCCTCGCTGCCTCTAGCAGTGACCAAAGAAGCCAAAGTCAGCACCCTCCCCGAGGAGCTGCAGGAAGACCAGCTGGGCGAAGATGAGCTGGCTTCGCTGGAGACTACGTGAGTGGGGGCGGGAGAGAGCCATCTGGGGCGGCAGGCCAGGGGTCGGCTCCGCGAGTGCGTGCGTGCATGCGTGCGTGCCCTGGAGTCGACTCCCGAGTCTGTTCCCTCGTCTGCTGTAGCGCTAAACACCCTGGAGAAGGGCCTGTCCCAAAGCAGGTGGGGGATGGGAGAGAGTTAACATAACAGAATCAATAGTTGCTCTTTCGTCCTAGGCCTCCCAGAGCTAGGATGGGGCCCGCGGGGGAGGCAGGGGCTGAGCGAGGGAATGCTGGGAACATGAGCTCGTGTCCTGGCGAGAAACCCAGGGGCAGGACCTGCGGCCAGTCCGGACCCTGTGCAGCTCCTTCCTCCCCTCTGACCTGATGGCACTCGGAGAATGTGCTCCTTGGGCATCTAGGGAAGGGGGTTCCAGAGCCTAGAGCCTGAAGCTGGTGCTGACCCCCAGGATGCAGGCAGCGGAACTGGATGAGCAGCATGAGAAGTTGGTGCTGTCCGCTGAATGCCAGCTGGTCACAATAGTGGCTGTGGTCCCCGGGCTGCTGGAAGTCACCACCCAGCACATATACTTCTACGACAGCAGCGCTGAGCACGTGGAGACCGAGGAGGGTGCGTTCTGAGGCAGCGGGTCGGAGGGATGGCAGGGGGTGGCTGTGGTCGGGCGGGGCTGGGTTGAGTGGTTCCCGCACCTGCTGTCCATCCCCGCAGGCATTGGCCACAACTTCCGGCGCCCGCTGGCCCAGCTCCGAGAGGTCCACCTACGGCGTTTCAACCTGCGCCGTTCCGCACTGGAGCTCTTCTTCATCGACCAGGCCAACTACTTCCTCAACTTCCCGTGCAAGGCAGGCGGGGCTGCGGCCTCGTCTCCTTGCCAGTCCCCCAGGCCTCAGCCTCACCCCATCCCACCCCACACCCAGATACGGAACCAGGTGTACAAGTGGCTGCTGCGCCTGCGACCCCCTGCCCAAGGCTACCTGAGCAGCCGCTCCCCCCAGGAGATGCTGCGAGCCTCCGGCCTCACCCAGGTGAGGGCCCTGGAGTGGGAGGGGCGGGTGAGGTCAGGGCCCTGCGGTTGCGGGGAGTGCTGGACAGCCCCAGCGGCTCACCTGCTGCCCGCCCCTGCCCCCCAGAAATGGGTACAGCGGGAGATATCCAACTTCGAGTACCTGATGCAGCTCAACACCATCGCGGGGCGGACCTACAACGATCTGTCTCAGTACCCTGTGGTAAGGGCCCGCTCCGTGCCCGCCCCGCCCCTCTGGTCCTCCAGCCCCAGTTCAGCCCAGCGCGGGCACTGATCGGGGCCCAGCCCTGAGCTCTGTCCGTGCTGCCTAAGGCTTGGCCGCTGTTCCCTGCCGCCCCGTGCCACACAGACACACCCAGCCCCACTCTTGTGCCCTCCTGTGGTCCCTCCTAGCGGGGGGTCCCCACCTGTGGGCTCTGCCCATCTTCCTGAGGGTGAGGGCGGGCAGAGTGGGCGGGTGGGCCCTCAGGATCCTCATGCAGCTCCTGCCCGGGTGGGCGGCCAGTTCCCCTGGGTCCTCCAGGACTACGTGTCCCCAACCCTGGACCTCAGCAACCCGGCTGTCTTCCGGGACCTGTCCAAGCCCATCGGTGTGGTGAACCCCAAGCATGCCCAGCTCGTGAGGGAGAAGTGAGCGGCGTGTGGGCGAGGCTGGGCGAGGCGGTTGGGTTGGGCCGGGCTGGGGGAGGACTGCTGCTGACCGCCCCTGACCGCGGCTCCAGGTACGAGAGCTTCGAGGACCCCGCGGGCACCATTGACAAGTTCCACTACGGCACCCACTACTCCAACGCAGCGGGGGTGATGCACTACCTCATCCGCGTGGAACCCTTCACCTCCCTGCACGTCCAGCTGCAGAGTGGCCGGTGCGGCCCCAGGGGTGGCGGGCAGATGGCGGCTGGCGGCGGGGGGTGGGCAGCAGACGAGGGGAAGAGGCAGGTCCTCCGGACACCCCGGGCCCTCTGCCTCTCTGCCGTTCTTTTCCCTGCCATGCCTTCTCCCTCCTGGTCCCCGTGCTCCCGCCTCACTTAGGCCCGTGCCCCTCCCCCCAGCTTTGACTGCTCTGACCGGCAGTTCCACTCGGTGGCGGCCGCCTGGCAGGCCCGCCTGGACAGCCTGGCCGACGTGAAGGAGCTCATCCCCGAGTTCTTCTACTTTCCCGACTTCCTGGAGAACCAGAACGGTGAGAGCTGGCGTGGGGGTGGGGACACGGGCCGGGGCGGCCAGAGAGCAGGTGGAGACAGCCGGTCCTCTGTTCCAGGCTTTGACCTGGGCTGCCTCCAGCTGACCAACGAGAAGGTGGGCGACGTGGTGCTGCCCCCGTGGGCCAGCTCTCCTGAGGACTTCATCCAGCAGCACCGGCAGGCTCTGGTGAGGACGTGAGCACGTAACGGACGGGCGGACAGCCAGGGTTAGGGGTCAGCTGTTGTCCCTGGACTGACCACCCCTCCCCGTCCGCAGGAGTCAGAGTACGTGTCTGCCCACCTGCACAAGTGGATTGACCTCATCTTCGGCTACAAGCAGCGGGGGCTGGCTGCGGAGGAGGCCCTCAATGTCTTCTATTACTGCACCTACGAGGGTGGGCAGTGCCCTGGGCACTGGTGGGGGCTGGGCACAGAGGAGGAGGGGTGAGTGCAGAGGTCACAGTGTTTCCTGACCGCTCTACCTGCCTGCGCAGGGGCTGTGGACCTGGACCACGTGGCAGATGAGCGGGAACGGAAGGCTCTGGAGGGCATTATCAGCAACTTTGGGCAGACTCCCTGCCAGCTGCTAAAAGTAAGTAAGGCCAGCTTGGAGAGTGGTGGTCAGGGAGGGCCACGCCGTGGTGCTAACTGGCCGCCTGCCCACAGGAGCCACATCCGGCTCGGCTCTCGGCTGAGGAAGCAGCCCAGCGCCTGGCGCGTCTGGACACCAACTCGCCCAGCATCTTCCAGCACCTGGACCAGCTCAAGGCCTTCTTCGCGGAGGTGAGAGGAGACGGGGCCCCAGCCTCCTGTGAAACGAGCTTCACCCCACTGTCCTCACCAACCTTTGGGGGCAGATGGGAAACCTACATCAAGGGCACTGCTATTAAGACATCTTGGAGAAAGAAGTGGAAGGGAGAGGACCCTGGGAGGGCGGCGGGGGTACTCCTTCGCTGGAGCGGGGACACGGTGCCGACTCACTGGGCCGTCTCTGGAAGCCGTAGCGAGACGGCAGGGCAGGGCATCTGGCTCGGACACTCCCTCCCCTTCCTGGCCACGGCTCAGAATGCCCCCAGGCTCTCCTCTGCTGCCAGCGTGCTGGGGGCACAGGCAGGAACGCGGTAGGCCGACCAAGGGTGAGACCAAGTGCGAGGTGAGGCTCGGGGAGGATCTTCCTCGTCCGTCCCAGCTTCTCACTCACTGTCTTTTTTTATTTATTGATTTGAGAGAAAGAATCATTGATTTGTTATTCCACTTACTTATGAATTCAGTTCCCGTATGTGCCCTGACCGGGGATCAAACCCTGAACTTGGGCACATTGGGATGATGCTGTAGCCAGCTGAGCTACCGGCCAGGGCTCTCACTTGCTCTCTGGGATGCCCTCTTGAAGACCCACTGGTCTCGTGCATGTTTCTCAGACGGACCTCAGCCTCTGTGACAACACCTAGCCTGTGACCCCCGGGGGCCGAGGGCAAAAGGAGCGGTGCCCCAGGGAGCAGGCGGTGCAGTGGGGGCCCTGGCCGGCCTCTCAGACACAGCCAGCCCCGCACCCTTCCCCACAGGTCATCAGTGATGGCGTCCCCCTGGTGCTGGCCGTGGTTCCCCACCGACAGCTCCACTCCTTCATGGCCCCAGACCTGCTGGTAGGTGCACTGGGCAGCACCCCGCCCAGCTCCCTCTCTGGCTGCACCCTAAACCTGCCTCTGCCCCCTCTTGCTCACAGGTGACCGTGAGTGCCAGTGGGCTGCTGGGCACCCACAGCTGGTTGCCTTATGACCGTAACATAAGCAACTACTTCAGCTTCATCAAAGACTCCAACAAGTAAGACAGAGGGCTACGGGCAGGGTTGGGCGCCCCTCCGAGTCGGAAGGCTGGCCAGCCGCTGGGTCTAGCCAAGGTCGCTGGGGGCCTCACCTGTCATCCCCCTCATTGGGTCAGGGTGCAGCGATTCCTGAGTGGCCCGTGGGTACAGGACAGTGGCGTGAGTGGACAAGCCCTGGCAGTGACCCCCGATGGAAAGCTGCTGTTCAGCGGTGGCCACTGGGATGGCAGCCTTCGAGTGACCGCACTAAACCGGGGGAAGCTGTTGAACCAGATCAGCCGCCACCTTGGTATGAGCGGCCTAGAAGCTGGGGGCGAGGCATGTCGGGGTGGGTTCTGAGGCTGGCCAGGGAAGGTGTGACTACTCTGTTCTACCTGGACCTTCCCCTCCCCACGCAGACATAGTGACCTGCCTTGCACTGGACACCTGTGGCATCTACCTCATCTCAGGCTCCCGGGATACCACGTGCATGGTGTGGCGGCTCCTGCAGAAGGTGTGCTGGCTGGGCAGCTCCGTGGGGCCCCCACAGTCCAGACTTGCAGCCCCCATGCCCCTCACTGGGCTTCCAGTGCCGCCCTTCTCTCTTCCCCTTCCATCTGCTGCTGTGAGCAAGTCTGGGGCTCCACAGCCCTCCAGCTCTCCGGCTTTGCACAATGCCCTCACTCTCCTGAGCCTCAGCCTCCTCGTTCGAGGGCCAGGATGATGGGACGACGCCCCCAGTCCTGACCCAGCCCTGGCTTCCCGCAGGATGGTGTCTCAGGGGGGCTGGCATCCAAGCCTATGCAGGTCCTGTATGGGCACGAGGCTGCAGTGAGCTGCGTGGCCATCAGCACTGAACTGGACATGGCTGTGTCTGGATCCGAGGTGTGTGTACGCCTGTGCTAGGGGAGGCCGAGTTTGCTGGGCGCCGTCCCTGGGACCCAGAGTGCCCTGCCCAGCGCCCTAAGCTGCCTTCCTACAGGACGGAACTGTGATCATCCACACTGTACGCCGTGGCCAGTTTGTGGCTGCACTACGGCCCCCGGGGGCCACGTTGCCTGGACCCGTGTCCCACCTGGCGCTGGGGTCTGAGGGCCAGATCGTGGTTCAGAGCTCAGCGCGGGAACGCCTGGGGGCTCAGGTATGGGAAAGGGGCACCCAGTCAAGACGGGGGTGGTTGGGAGTCTGTCCTTGCTGACACCTCCTGCTTCTTCCAGGTCACCTACTCCTTGCACCTGTACTCGGTGAATGGGAGGCTGCGGGCTTCACTGCCCCTGGTGGAGCAGCCCACAGCCCTGGCGGTGACAGAGGACTTCGTTCTGCTGGGCACAGCCCAGTGTGCCCTGCACATCCTCCACCTAAACAAGTGAGCCCTACTGTTCATGGGTCTGTGGTCCCTCAGGGTGGTGGTCACTGGCAGAGGATACTAGGAGGTCCCCCCTCCCGTGAGCCGCCACCCTCTTTGCACACCTGTGGGCACCTCCTGCAAGTCCTGCCACCTGACTCCTCATCCCCCAATGGGGAGATCTTGCCCTTGGCCTGTCTTAGCCACACTCCTGTGGGAGGTCACTTCCTGTATCAGGGTTTCAACGGAGCCATCCTTCAAATGAGGGCAGCTGGATGCCAGGCTGCCTTGTAGTTGCAAGTTCGTGTATCCCCTCCCTCCCCGCCTCCAGGCTGCTCCCGGCAGCGCCTCCCCTGCCCATGAAGGTGCCCATCCGCAGCCTGGCTGTGACGAAGGAGCGCAGCCACGTGCTTGTCGGTCTGGAGGACGGCAAGCTTATCGTGGTGGGCGCGGGGCAGCCCTCCGAGGTGAGGCTAAGGGCAAGGCGGGCTTCGACTGGGCCTCAATGGGGCGCGGAGCGGTGGTCCTGGCTGACCCCACTCCGCTCTTCCTCGCCCCAGGTGCGCAGCATCCAGTTCACACGGAAGCTGTGGCGGTCCTCCCGGCGCATCTCGCAGGTGTCCTCTGGAGAGACGGAGTACAAACCCGAAGAGGCGCGCTGACACCCGGCCCCGCCCCCACGCAGGCTCCGCCCCGGAGGCCTCGCCCCGGAGTCGGCGATTCGGTCCGCCGGCACCCCGGGGTGCGCGGAGCCCCACCCCCGGCAGCTCAGGGATCCGTGGGCGGTGTCACTCCCGGAAGTCCCGCCCCTCGCCGGCAGAGGGGCGGCCCGGAGTCCTGGCACTGGCCCAGGCGTCGTAAAGCACTTTTTGCACAGTCTGGGGGCGGGGAGCCTGGCCGCCCCCGTCCCCAGTTCCGGCAGAGCCCAGGGACCGGGCTTGTGGCCTTAACCCCTAAGGCGGCTCCCGCTCTCCCATTCTCGGCAATAAACTGGGCCTGGTTTTGTAGCTGCTCCGCCTCTGAGTCTGGTGTGTTGCGCGCCCGCGCGGCGTCTCCGCCTGCCCTGGTCCGGGGCCCTCCGGGGCGCCCCCTCCACGTGGCCTCGGCTTCCCCAGCCGCACCGCCCGGTCCCTCGAAGTCCCGTCGGTCGTTCTTCCTGGCTCGTGCTCGCACGCGGCCCTCCACGAGATCACCCCTGCACGCCACTCGCGCGCTCCTGCCGTCGGGGCCCGGCGTCTGGTGGGCGCGCGTGCGCGTTCCTTTGCAGGGCGGGGTGAGGTCGTGGCGGCCGCGCCCCTCCACTCCGCCCCCGCGGGCCCCTCACGCAGCGGCCCGGGCCCCAGAGTTCCCGGGGCCGCCCTGCCCGCCTGCTCAGTGCACATCCCTGCGCCACCTCTCTCGTCGCCAGAGGGCCGGAACCCGGCCTCCCCTGGGATTCCAAGCCGTCTCCCCAGCTGGCCCGAGGCTAGTCTCGAGTCTCAGAGGCCCCCGGCCCGCCAGGGTGAGCGGATCTTGGGGCCTGTGGAGGGTCGGCCGCCGCAGGTCCGGAGTGGGTTGGGGACAAAGCCCCGGGTCTCGGGCGGAGGGAATCGAGAGCTGCCTCTCTGCACCCCACCCCGAGACCCGCAATCCTGCTCGTGTTGTCTGTCATGGTGCAGCGCTTGTGTTGAGATGCGTGTGGGAAGCCAGGTTCGCGTGGGCGTGCGGGGTGTTGCGCGGTGTGCGCGTGTTTTGTGGGCCCGGAGCCGGGTGTGTGATGTGGGGCGGTAGAGGGCTCAACCCGGCAGCTCGGGGTGGGTCCGGCGGACAGGCCTGGCGCTCTCTGAGCAAGCTGGTCACAGGCTCACCCACCTCCCCTCCAGCATCCCAGAATGGCCCCTCATGCGATGACACAAACTTACATACCCGACACGTGGCAAGGGCCATGGCAGGCAGCCTCTGTCCCAGACCTGCTTGCTAACTGTGCGTTTCGCCATAAACATGGGCACACGGCCTTCCCCAGCAGGGAAGTGAGTTTGGAGTCCCTGGGGTAGACCGGCCCGCTACAGAGTGGTGGACAGTGGGGAGCTGGAGGGACTTCCCCCACGTCTCTGCATTCATCTTCCAGGCAAGATCCCTCCTCGGCCCAGAACTGGGTCCCTCCCTGCCAGGCCTCAGGAAGTGGGTCCCAGCAGGAACAACCCTATAGGTCCAGATGGGACCCGAACTGAGTGGTCCTGACCTTCAGCTTTCTGGCCTCTGGGCCCATATGCCCTCTGCCCTTGCTGACCCCAGGGTACCCTGCAGTCTAGTCTCAGAGCAGGAGGTGAGGGCTGGACACTGATTATGGAGGCGGGAGTGACAACGCAGTCACTCCAGGGAGGCTTAGGGTGTCGGGGTCCTGGGCTCATGCTGAGAAGTCTTGGGGAGTCTCCTACCAGCCAGCAAGTCTCTGGCTTTGCCCTGAGACTGGGGTGGGCATCTTCTGGTCCTTCCATCCTACCCCTGGACTTAGGTTTGCCAACCTGCCCTTCTTCCTCTCCAGCTGCATGCTGGTTCCTCCAGTCCAGCCAGCTGGGGCCAGCTCTGTCACTCCCACTCCATCTGCCACAAGAGGAACTGGTTCAGATTGATGAGTGGGAGTGGGAGGGGCACCCAGCCCTGGAGCTAATCAGGATGGAATGAGCTAGGAGAGGGGGGCAGACTGCTTCAAGGGACTCCTGACATCAGGCCTGAGGTGTGTCCCCCATGTCCCTACCTATAGCCCCTTCTGGACTTAGAGAAGTCTCCCAGCTCGCTGGCCTGGGCACTGCCCATGACTCTCCGACCCCTTTTCCAAGAGATGCAGCCCCTGGGAGTGCGACCAGCCGGCAGAGAGATGCTCCGCAACTCCAGCCTCAGGGAAGGCCTCGTGCATGTGGGTAAGCACCTCTCGGTCCAGATTTGGGGCACAGGGCAGGATGGGAGGTTTCCCGGGTGGGCAGGTCACGCACAAGTCCAGTCACAGGCAGGCCCTGGAGTTCCTGTCTACTGCGCCCAGCCTGCCCTGGACTGTGGGAACAGCCGGGCTGCAGGCAGAAAGAATTAAGCAGCAGCATTTACTTGCTTTCCAGTTTAGCTCTAATTCGTTAATTAATTAATTAATCAATGTATTTTTAGGGAGAGGGTAAGGCAGGGAGAAAGAGACACACTGAAGTGCAAGAGATACTTGCTTCTCACGAGGCCCCAACTGGGGACCTGGCCCCCAACCCAGGCATGTGCCCTGACTGGGAATTGAAACTGCGACCTTTTGGTTCACAGGCTGGCGCTCGATTTACTGAGCTACACCAGCCAGGGCTTAATTGATTTGGGGGGCGTGTGTGTGTGTGTGTAGAGGGGCATCGATTTGTTGTTCCACTTTTTATACATTCATTGGTTGATTCTTGTATGTGCCCTGACCAGGGATCAAACCTGCAACCTTGGCATATCTGGACAATGCCCTTACCAACTGAGCTACCCGGCCAGGGCCCAGTTTAGCTTTATTTTGCAAAATTGACAAGGTCTCCTGTGCACAGAGATCCCCACAGGGACCAACGTGAGTCAGGGAGCTCCTGCAGTCCAGACCTGGGAAGATAGGACACAGTGCAGTGCTGCAGCAGACAACAGGAGGCGGGATAGGGAGGGACGGGAGAGATCAAGGAAGCGTCTCAGAATAGGAGATTCCTGCCACTTGGACTGATGGCGAAGGTAGAACAGCAAGTGCCGACACCTGGAGGTCTGGGAGAGGGCACCTCTGGGAAGGGCTAGGGGTCCAAGAATGGGAAACGAAGGGGAAGCTGTGGGAGAGGAGCCCGGAAAACGGGCCAGTCGGCTCTCGATGCTGTGGTATGAGCTTTTGACTACAGAGTAGGCACCCTTGTTTCACATCTTTCGACCGCCAAGTCTCAGTGAGGCTGCCCAGAGACCCTAGCCTGGATTCCTTGCCCCTCACCCGGTCTTTCCTTTTCTCTGCAGATAAGACCCGGAAGGGGCAGGACAGGGACAGGGAAGGAGTGTGGTTAGGGGCAGGGGGAGCCCTGGCCCCCAATACCTCCTCCCCCTCCCCCTCCGAGCCTCCGGGGGCCTCAGGCAGCATCATCCCTGTCTACTGTGCTCTCCTGGCCACAGTGGTCCTTGGCCTGCTTGCCTACGTGGCCTTCAAGTGGTAGGTGGCTTGGGTACTGCCCTGCGGCACCCCCTTCTCGTCTGAACTCCCGGCCAGCTCCTTCTCTGTCGCAGTGGAGGTTGGAGCAGGTTGGCAGATCCCCCCTGCTCCCCACAGCTGGCGCTCACACAAGCAAAGACAGGAGCTGGCCAAAGCTCGGACTGCAGAGCTGGGGGCCCTCGACAGGGACCAGATGCACGGGGACAGCAGTGTCTTGCGGGACTCTTCCAGCGGTCGGGAGTGCTGTGGCCCCAGCCAGGGTGAGTCCCTTTCCCCAAGGTCCTTCAGACCCAGCTCTGCCCACCACCCAGCCCATCTAACCCTCATCTGCCCCACCCACATGTCTCCCACCCCAGGGCCACATCCTGAGCTCGGCTGCCAGCTCTACCTCCATCTCCCTCGGCAGCAGCAAGAGGAAGTGGAGCGGCTCCTGGGAGGGTCAGGAGAAGCGGACAAGGGCTGGCAGGGCCTGGCGGGCCGCCTGGGCTACCAGGCTGAAGCTGTGGAGATGATGGCCGGGAGCCAGGCGCCTGCCTCCGCTCTGCTGAGGGACTGGGCTGCCCGGGAAGGCAGCGGTGCTACCCTCAGGGTGCTAGAGGGCGCCCTGGCCGCCATGGGCCGTGAGGACGTGGTCCGGGCCCTCGGCCTCCCACCGGAGGGCTGCTCTGTGGTGTGAGCTGCGCCTCCGCAGCCTGGCCTCCCGGGGTGCGGGCCCTGGTGCTACCTACCCTGCCCACCTCACATGCCTTCCCTTCCGTGGGCTTCCTCGCATTGGTGGGCTCAGCCTGCTCCGTCTTCAGGGACACAGAGGGTCCAGCCACTCCACACCTCCCCTTGCCCTACCTTCCTTGGAGCCAGAGACCAGGATATGGGGGGGGTTGGCAGCAAGCCATGGCTGGTCTCCCTCCCCCTCCCCTTCCTTTGCCGTAACTGTTGCTCCTTCCTGTGTGTTCCGTATTAAAGGTGACTTTGGATTGCTGTGCTGGTTCTCTCTGGCTCCTTGGGCCTGTGGGGAAGTGGGTGGCTATGGGGCAGGGGCCCAGAAAAAGGACTGGGTCCCCAGGTCGTGGGAGGAGCACCCGGGCCAGCAGGCAGGGTGTTCCCAGAGGAGACGCATGGGCTCTGGCGGCAGAGCGCAGTTCACACCCTGCACCGCCATCCACCGGCTGGATCGTGCTAGGGAGCTATCTCGCCTCCTGGACCTTAGCTTCCTCAGCCGGGAAACAAGAGAAAGGCATGTTCAGTAGGTCCCCCTCGCCCCAGGCTCCCAGGGTGAGCCAATGTTCCCGACCGGTGACAGGCATGGAGGGGAGGCTGAGGCCTGCCCCTCGAGGCTGGAAGCAGGAGGCAGGAGGCAGACCGGTCCCGGGAGGCTGGTTCCGAGGGCCTCTGTTCACCTCTGCGTGAGAAAAGGGAAAAAAGGGCTCTCCTTCCAAGGCCCATACTCCAGATGCAGGAGAGGGCGGCAAACGTGCTTCCACGGCTGCTACTTATGTGATTTCCTCACAAGCCAAAGGCAGGCAGGTCATCCCACCCACCTGAGGGGCAACTGAGGCCGGGGGAGCTGCAGCGGAACCACCTGCACCCCACATGTCCTACGCCCACCCTGACGGGAGAGGCAGGCAGGCTGGTTAACGTGCTTTAGGAGAGGGCTGCTGCAGCACGGGCTCTGCCTAAGCAGGAACAACGCCCTCCTGGCATCTGCCACCCAAACTCAGGAGACGTGGGACCCAGTGGTCCAGCGGCCCAGCGTAGGCCCTGTCCCCTGGCTGATGGAGATGGGATGGACTGGCCGCTCCATGATCACCAAACTCCTCAGGCTGCTGGTGCTGCTGCTCCCCAGAGTTTACCAGGGCTGCTTAAACCCATCGGTCTTTCCCTGAGATGACCCTTGGGCAATGCTAACCCAGGGAAGAAAGCAGGAACGACTCGGCATTCCCTCAGCTGGCGGCAGACCGGCTCCGGAGAGATCACGCTGGCTTCAGCAGGGAGCTGGCCACGGCGCGGCCGAGCAGCGGCCTGCGGGTGAATGTGAAACCCTGCATGGAGCGGCACGAGTGGGTCTCGACTAGCTGCTAGCCCTTGTCACCAGAGGGGACTGGAGCCTGAAGGTGTCAAGGGGAGTGTGGAAAGGGGAAAGATTTTGGAAAAAAACAAAAACAAAAACAGGGAGGTAAAATAACAGAATTCCTTTTCAAAGGCGTCCTCCCTGAAATGCGGCAGGTCACACCACCCTTTAACAGAAGGCTGTCCGGGCTTCCTTGGAAAATCTGGAACCGGAGCCTCGGGTCAAAACCGTGAGCTGGCCCTGGTTGTAAGCAGCAGTGCACCCGGCCGCACCCTCGCACGCAAACCCACCCCAAAGAAAAATGCTCCCTCATGTGCTCAAGCAAGCTTGTCTAATGACTATGACTTTATAATAGATTTTTCCACTTTTCTGTCTGGCCGCAGCCATCAGGGATTCTCAAAGGCTCAGTTAAGTAGCTTTCAGAAAATATGTAGCAATGTAGCAGACTCATAAGACCTCAGTTCCTTTCCACTCAATAATCTTTTTTAAGATTTTTATTTCTTTGCTTTTTCGAGAGAGGGGAAAAGAACAGAGTGGGGAGAACCGCCACAGTGCAAGAGAGCCCTGGCTGGTGTGGACCAGTGGACTGATCCAGTACTGGCCTGTGAACCAAAGGGTCACCAGTTCAATTCCCGGTCAGGGCACATGCCTGGGTGGTGGGCCAGGTCCCCAGTAGGTGGCACACGAGGCAACCACACATTCATGCTTCTCTCCCACCCTTCCCCTCTAAAAATTAATGAAATCTTTAAAAAAGAAGTGCAAGAGATCCATCATTGGTTGCCCATCCGTTTACCTCGCACACGCCCCCAAGTGGGGAACCTCGCCCACAACCCAGGCCTGTGCCCTGACTGGGAATTGCACTGGCAACCTTTTGGTTCACAGGCCTCAAAAATCTTAAACCATTTATTTTTTGTGTAGAAAATGCTGCACTAATAAATGCCTGTTTACAATGAACACGAAACCGTGTCAGTTCTTGCACCTCAGGGCCGTGAGGCTAAAGTGATCACGACCCACCGCACTGTGAGTGCCCGGTGTGGTGCCCACGGGCAGTGAGCGCTGCGAACTGCTGCCCCCCCCCAAGACTCGGGGGGCCTCTGCCCCCACCCCAGGGGCATGGCTGCAGTGAGCACAACGAGCCCCGTGAGGAAGAGGTGGAGCCCCTCTCTGTGAAGATGGGCCCCAGGCTGGCCCGAGGCCTTTGGCTCTCCTCGTTGCCCAGACGAGGGGCGTGTGTGAGGGCGTCTCCCCACTGGGCCTTGCATCCTCCAGGTGGTGTCCGCTCTCATCACAACCTGTGCACTGTGCCCTTTAATGGGGGTGCTCCCCCGTCCTATGTCTAGTGTCCAAGTCCAGTGTCCGGCGACGCAGTGAAGGTCGGGGAACCAAAACGTCAGACGAGCATCCCAGGGGCCTCGGAGAACTCGGGTCTCCGAAGGGAGCGCTGGCCGTGCCTCTCCCCAGCCAGGCAGTACACGGGGGGAGACACACCCCTCTCTCGACTGACCTATCAGCAAAGAGCCCGGTGCCAGGCAAGACTCAGGTCCTTTCTTTGCTCTGGAATGCACCTGTGAGTCGGCCCCACCCCTGAGCGCGGCTACCAGATCCCAAGCTCACACGTGTCCGTGTTCCTGGCAGATTCTGCCTCAGCCCCGGCGGGACCTGTGGAGAACGAGGCCTGTGACAAGCCCCAATTCCAAGGGCAAATTTCGGACTTCACACACCTATAGCCACCATCTCTGCTTTCTCCGGTAACATCATTATACACAAACATGGTTTAACTAGCTCTTAGGGAACACACATGCCAAGTTCTTTAATTAATTTTATTTTTTACATAAAAAGTTCAGTAAAAATTGGATAAAGTAAAGTGATTTTAAGCAGTAAATCAATCTTATCAACATAGCACAAGGCTGGCCAAAACCACAAGGCAGCCTGCTTTGGAATATTTACATGATAACAAATTAAACCTTGCAGGAGAACTTCAACTATCCTTACAAAGTCTTCCTGTGATCCTAGCACATAAAGGCTAAAAGCAAAACAAAACAAACAAAAACCAGGAAAAAACAAATTATTTTCAATATATTCACATATACATTAAAATATAATACAGATCGTCAGGGTCAGAGGTCGCGGGTGGGGATGCGCATGGATCTGTGCGCCGACAGCACCACCAAGGAGGAGACCCAGGTGTGGGGGGGTCAGGCCTGGCCAGGGTCTCGGAGGAAGGGTCTTCCCTAGCCCTCGCCCCCGCTGATCTCTACCCTAACCCCAACAGCTCACGGCCGGGGATCACTCGTCGTAGACTGAACTCGTTTTGGGGCCTTCGGTTGAAACCTGCAGGTTTGATTCCCCAGGGTGACGTGTCATCAGTAGCACAGCTTTGACAGAAGGGCGGGGCAGGGAGAGCCCACGAGCTCTCTCCTCCCCAGTCTGTCCTCCCACCCTGGCCCCCTAAGTCACTCTAACTCAGTGTCCTCTTTGGGTTTGTAAACAGCCCCAAACTTCTGCATGTACTTCTTAATGTACTCCTTGGTTTTGTGTTTCACATTCTCATTGCACTCCAGGTCCTCGGGGTTCTTACAGTACTTCAGCTCCTTATTCATGACGCCGTGCGTCAGCTGTCCAGGACACAGAAGAGAGACCACAGCCACCGGTCAGAGGGGAAATGATTGGAGGGGGAAGCCCAGCCTGTTGCCTCAGGGCCCTCTACCCAAAACCGGGAGTTGAATAAAGAGATAGGTTGGGGCGGGCTGTGCTGGGATCACCAGAAAGGGAAGCTCAGTTCTGGAAGTTTCTTAGAGAATCACTACACCCAAGTAGGGTGCCCTCCCTCCTCTGGCCTGGGCACCCGGCAAGAAAAACCCACTTTCTAGGAAAGAGGCCTTTTCAGAAGGTACACAGTTTGCCCAGAACACGGTCAGAAGACCTCAGCGGGGAGAGTACCTTGCGAGCTAGGTGTTTGAAGTCTTCCGTTGTGGTGATCCTTCCCACCTTGCAGTCGGGTTTCCGGTACGGGTTCAGGCACTGCACGATGAACTGGGACATCTGCCGGCAGGGAGAGGACACGCCGCTCAGCACTGCAGCGGAGCAGCGACTGGGAGGGACGGCAAGGGGGGGCAGCTGGTCCTCGCCAACTCAGGTTGGCTGGCTTGCACGGCAGAGTGCGACCGTACCAGCGGGACACGAGACAAAGGTCCTGGGTCAGCCCTGAGAGGGAGGACTCCCCTGAAAGGACTGAGCAAGGCGGACTTACGTGGAGGGACCCCGCAGCCGAGACTGGAGAAAGCAGCTCCTCTCTGTGCTACCAGAATGGCTAACACTGTCCCATCTGTAGCACAGAGACCGGAGCTAAGTTCTCTGGCTCCTGGAGGTAAGCATTCCATTTCTTTTGGTTCACACGATAGGAGTGTGAAGCAAATGAAAGCTGGTGGGGAAAGACCAAGGGTAGGCCCCTTTTCAACGTACAACTTCCAGTGTCCTCCTGAGCTGTCTCCAGTTGTCTGTCCTACCCAGTGGCTCTCAAGAGACCCAGGCACAGGACCTCTGGAAGTATCTAGGGTGGTCAGTGACCACCACAGAGGAGGTCAGTGACAGCAACTTCCCCGGGGAGCACCCCGAGCAGGCCTGCCCATCCCTGAAACTCTAAGCCTTCGGGCGCTCCAGGAACAAGGGTACAGCACAAAGGAGGCACTAGCTGAAAGCTGCTAGCCGGCTGAGCGGAAATGCCCATAGTTTCACACAGGGACAGTGAGGAACTAAAGCTTAACTCTGTGGTCCCCTGGCCTCCATGTTCTCCCGCTACAATTCACTTTCCCAGATACAGTCAGGGGTCTGTCCCACGGTTCCCAGCTTAAAGTCCCGCAGTGTTTCCCTGTCACTCTCAGACACACAGGCCC